ATGGTTTTTCACACCAATTGTTTGACAACAAGTGATATCAAAGAAGTGGAAGAAGAATGAGTGGCTCAACCAATACGACCGGTTGGGCGACAAACACCACCTCCTCGTCACCCGATAGTCACCGAAGAACATCCGGCGGTCACCCAAACGGTCCCTCAGGAGTGGCCAATACGGGTGGTGTCGTCGGCGGCGCTAAATTCCCCGGACGTGTGATTATGAAGAATAACTATTTCGCCAACAATTCTGTGACAAACAACTCGTCGATGAGTGGAAGTGGTAGTAGTGGTGACCGTCAACGACACGGCGCCGCCAAACAGAGGACTAGTAGTCTGTCGGCGATGAACACAACGCCCACCAAAACCAGTGGCGGAGCCGTACGGGTGGCCACCGGTGGCGCCGCTTATCATCACCACAAACGCAACAACTCATCCAGTTTTGAGGTCTTCACCGCCAGCTGTGATGACGCCTGGGATTCAACAATTGATGACTGTCTTCAGACACCCAATCATTTCAATAATTATACGTCTAATCATCCGGTGTTGTCGTCCTCTTCGGCCACAATTGATGCCCAACTCTCTAACCATATATCGGGTCTTCTCATACGCGAAATGGTATTGTATTTTATTATCTCATTTACCGTATGTTTAAGTGTATACACAATATCTCCCGTTTTAATGAACAGAATATTCCCGCATATAATGTACGGAATTGTGCTTTCATTTAATGGCACAGAATATTCCCCTATTTTCTAATAGTCTGTGACCTCAATATCTATTTGTAATAACTCTTTAATTAAATTATAAATATTTTTAAACCCAATTTTAATTTTTATATAGCATTACGTGGTTTATAAAAATGTGTTTTCATTTTATTTTTTAGTAAATACTTTTACTTTTATATAAAAGTATTTTTTAATAATTTAGTGAAATATAGTATTTGTTAAACAAATTATATTCACTTTTCCCATTGAAATGCGTTTATAATTTTTATTTATTAAAATAATTGATTAATTTTTCAATGTTTTCCTCATTTCTGCATAAATTTAATAGATTTTAAAACTATTTTCTCGTTTACATTGATAGCAATCTATTGATTATTAATAATAATTTATTATTTAATTAATATATGAAAATAATAGAGTATACAATAGGGGATTATATTGCACATATACTGTACCTTGTTCATTTAAAGTCCCCTATCATTTATTCCCAAATTTATGAGTTGAGTTATTGCATGCAATGGTTTCCAGTGATAGACGTTAACAAAAGTGCATAAATTCATTGCATTATAATTAGATATATTTAATATAATATACAGTATGAGTGAAGTAAAAGTCTGCACACAATTGTATAGTTAGAAGAAATATTTATAATTATATTGTTTTTACGATTTATTACAACAGATTATTTGTGAAAATATAATTTGTAATTGTTTTTTGTTGATAGCCTTCGACATCAAAGCCATTAAAACCTGTTTCGAAGACAAATACTGACAAAAACAAGACCAATGCTATGGAAAGCGCCAAAATTGATACCAATATCTTTCAAGTGACCGAAACTGATCCCAAATTAGCCAAAATCACGAGAATAGTG